ACCAAGTGTAACATATATCATCGTTAAATCTTATCTTATAAAACCAGTGGAACTTCAAAATCATTAAAATTCATGGCTCCCGCCGCATTGCGCGGGTACACAACTAGTTAAATTATAATAAAAAAAATTGAATTAGAAAATTACACCAAAAATATGAATTTTAAATAGTTAATTTAATACTAATATCGATATATTTTTGTCAAATTTTTATGATATCTTCAATTATATTTTATTCAAAAAATAAAAACATTATCATTTTTTCAAAATCACATAAAACCATACTATAACATCAATTAAATAAAATGAAATATTAAAATCAAGATGTATCTCGCTGCATTGCACGAATACCCTTCTAATATAAATAAAACAATAGAGAGAAGGTAAAATTTTCAAATTTGGATGATTCTCTAAAATTTAATTTTAAAAGAGATAATATATTTTTATTTATTTTTTACTAACTCTTTATAAAGTTTGTTAAATTAAATATATTGAATATTTTAATAATATACTAGAAGGGTACTCGTGCAATGCAGCGAGATACATTTCGATTTAATGTTTAGTTTTTATTCTTTATATCTATCGATATAATAGGATTTTATGTGGTTTTGAGAAAACGGTAATTTTTTTTATTTTTGAACTAAAATATCAATTTGAAGTAAACATAAAAAATTGTAAAAAAATAAATCGATAATAGTATCAAATTGCCTATTTAATAGTTCTCATTTTTTTTGGTGTAACTTCTCTAATTTAATGTTTTATTTTAATTTAGATTTAATAATAAAGTAATTTATTTTTGGTTTAATAACATATTTTTTTTTTATAAAGACAATAATTAAACATTTTGTTAGAACTCAATGATTATCTTAATTATATTTTAGATTTTCTATCTTTAAAATGAATGTTTATCATATATTTAGTTATATTTATCAACAGTTAGTTACACGAATTTAAAAATGAAGCTTTAATAAGTTGTACTTATGCAAAATTACTTGTAATCTTAAATTTTAAGTAATATGCATCAATAAACAATACTTCATGCATAAAAAATGATTTTTGAGAGTTTTTGTCAAATATTTTTTTTTAAATAGTATAAATATAATTAATACTGGAGCGTATTTATTCATTAGACTATAAAATTTAAACATGAAAATTTAAAAAGTTATTTGTATAGAATAATAAAAACATTTCCAAATAAAAAAAATATGATTTGGAAGATCTTTTTGGTCTATTTCCAAAAATTAAAAAGATGAAATAAAATATAAAGATTCAAATTTGGAGAACCTTTTAAAGTTTAATAAGAGAGAGAAATGTATTTTTAATTGTTTCTCATCCTATTTATCTAAACTTTGTTTAAAAGTTTCTTGGAATATTAAAAATATGAGAAAAATTCAGAAAAACTCAATGAATAAAACACAGACTAAAAAGGAGGAGATTAATGGCAGGGACAAACAGCGTGATAAACAATATGAAGAATGGACAACGATGGGGCGACAAAGAGTGGCAGAGGGAATGATATTGTTGTTTGTGAGGGGTCGGGCGTATGATTTTGGAACGGAAAAACTAATTTAGGTTTATTTTTACTTTAAAATTCATGTTTATCTGACGAATGAAATGAAGAGAATATCGACCGAATATTTTGTCCACTCTTTTTTTTTATCGATGGTAATTACTTTTTTTTTGTAATGTGTATGATTTGTGAATTGGTTTTGAAAACGTAATGCAAAATTTAATTGATTTTTCATTCTTAATTACATCAAAATGTTACATTCCTTTGCATTACATGGGTACACGGCTAGTCATTTAAGATGAGAAAGTTTAATGGTTTTTTCATTCAAAAAAATAATTCAAGAACTCAATCATTTAAAACGGGATAGTTTGTTGGGTTTTTATAAACGTTTTCTTCTAAATATGTCGAATACATTAATGTTATAATAATGTTGAAAATACTTAAAATTGATAATTTGTTGACATTTAATGGTTTTTTTAAAGATTTTAAATTATGATTATATATATTGGAGAAATTATAGAAAATGTGTAGAAATCTATAACCAAACCACCATGTATTGATAGAAGAAAAAACTTACAGATGAAAACTTACAAGAAAACTATGTATCTTAGCTAAGATAGCTAAGATCTATAAGAAACGTATGCTAAATCTAAAGAGAGAAACTGAAGAAACTTTTCAAAGAAATTACAAAAATGAATTGAGATGATTAGTTGATAATTGGGTATAAAGTTTATATAGTCTGTCCAATAATTGCAAAAAGCTCCCTGACTTTAAACATATTGTTCCGCTACCCTTGATGTTCCAAGAAATGTGAGGCGCAGTCCTCCGGTCCTTAATCTTTCTTGACTTGAACATTTTTACCCCTTATGTTTACATTCCTTGCAAAACAATACAAAACAACCAACAAACATACAAAAGTTAAGATTGACAATTTAATAGGATATCATATTTTAACACCCTCCCTCAATCTTGACTTTTGAATAAATCAATCATTTTGAGTTTTGAACAAAGAAAATTATGATGTGTTATACCAAGAGATTTTGTGAAAATATCAGCTGGTTGTTCAGAAGAAATTATTTTAACAACTTTTATTATTCCTTTACTGATGTTTTCACGAATTTGATGAACATCAATTTCTATGTGCTTTGTTCTCTCATGAAAAACAGGATTGTTTACAATTTGAATTGCAGACTTGTTATCACAAAATAAGCTAACAGGAAGTAAATTCTTTATGTTCAAATCTACTAAGATTTTAAGAATCCAAATAATTTCACAAGTAACAGTGGCCATCGCCCTGTACTCGGATTCAGCAGAAGAGCGCGAAACTGTGCTTTGTTTCTTGTTTTCCCATGAAAGCATAGAATTACCAAGAAATATACAAAAACCAGTAACAGACTTTCTGGAGAAAAGACATTTACCCCAGTCGGCATCAACGTAAGCACTAAGCAAAAAAATTTCAGACCTGATGAAGCTAACTCCTTTGCCAGGAGACAATTTCAAGTATCTAAGAATTCTAATAGCAAGATTTAAATGAGATTGCCTTGGAGCATGCATGAATTGACTTAAACAATGAACAACAAATGCAATATCAGGTCTAGTTGCTAAAAGATAAATGAGTTTTCCAATTAATCTTTGAAAACCAGTATGATCAGACAGATAAGGATCTTTTGAGCTACTAGAGTCAGTTACAATCAAATTCATGTCCATAGGTGTGCTGCAAGGTTTACAACCAAGATAACCAAATTCATGAAGCAATTCAAGACAATRCTTTCTTTGGGTCATACACAATCCATTTGCACAATCTAAGATCTCAATACCAAGAAAAAATTTTAACTTTCCCAAATCCTTAATGAGAAACTTACTCTTAAGAAATTCTTTAACATTGTTTATTTCCTGATTATTATTTCCAGTTATCACTATATCATCAACATAAACAAGCAAAATTATGAAAACATTATTAACAGACTTCGTAAACAGAGAATAATCATTTATGCTTTGAACAAACCCATTATCAAGTAAACACAAAGACACTTTTGCATACCATTGTCTCGGAGCCTGTATTAAACCATATTGGGATTTAACAAGTTTGCATACTCGTTTATCATTAGGACTATAATATCCCTCATGTAAATACATATAAACTTCTTCAATCAAATCACCATATAAAAAAGCATTATTCACATCTAACTGAAACAAACTCCATTTAAACTGCACAACTAAAGCTATGATACAACGAACAGTAATCATTTTCACAACTGGAGAGAAAGTTTCTTCATAGTCTAGATCTTCTCTTTGACTATAGCCTTTGGCTACAAGTCGGGCCTTAAATCTCTCAATTTCACAGTAGATTTATATTTTATCTTGTATATCCATTTACAGCCTATTGTTTTTCTACCAGGAGGCAAATTAGTTATGACCCAAGTCCCATTCCTATGTAAGGCTTCCATCTCGTCATTCATAGCATTAACCCAATTCAAATCTTTATAAGCTTCTTGAAAGGTTTTAGGTTCACTTGATTTATTCAGATTTGAAACAAAACAAAAATTATCAATGGAAAGACACGAATAGTTAACCACCTTTTCTATTCCATATTTTACCTTCCCTTCAACCACAAAATATCAAAATTTTTAGGTAAAACAGATGGTCTAGAAGATTTTCTAGCAGTTTGTAACATACTAGATGACGGATTATGAGTTCCCTCAGAGAAGACGAAATCACAAGAAGGATCATTACTACTTCTGTCTATTTCTTCAGGCTGACTAGCAACCTCTTGATTAGTGCTAGCGGCCGAGTCAGAACCATTCAATGGTTGCCAACTGGTAGCTCGTCCTAGATTATCTTCATTACTAAGATTAAGTCTATGTGGACTTTCAGAGCTGCCTAGAGGCCTCCTATTGACATAATTAGTTTGGCCACCTAGCATATCTCTATTATTCGGGTCTGAAGAAATATTATGAGCAGATTCAGTATTATAATCGTCTCCATTCTCATCATTGGGCAAAGCAACACCAACTTTATCAGACAATTCATTTCGAGAGTAAAAAAACATTCAATTGATCAAGGTCTTTATTCTCAGATTCACTCAACTTATCAGACTTCATTTTAAATGGAAAAATGTTTTCATAAAATTTCACATCGCGTGAAAGAGTTATTTTCTTGGAATCCAAACTATAAAGTTTGTATCCYTTTTTCGAATTGGCATAACCCAATAAAACACATTTTTCCGACTTTGGAGAAAACTTATCAGAAACATTTGGTAACACAGTAAAGCACAAACACCCGAAGTTTCTAAGATGAGTGAGAACTAGTTGAAAACCATAGATGAGCTCGTAGGGACACTTACCATTTAAAACAGAGGAAGGGGTTCTATTAATGAGATAAGTAGCTGTAAGAATGCATTCATTCCACATGTTAAGAGGGATCCCTCCTTGAAACATAAGAGATCTAGCTACATTAAGTAAATGGCGATGTTTACGTTCAACAACCCCATTCTGTTGGGGAGTGTAAACACACGAGGTCTGATGAATTATTCCTTTCTCTTTAAAAAATCATTTAACTTTTGACTAGAAAATTCTGTGCCATTGTCACTCCTAAAAACCTTAACAGTTTTACCAAATTGAGTACTGACCAGATTGTAAAAAGTTATGATGTTTTCACAAACCTCATGTTTTCCTTTCAACAAAAACACCCAAACCGCCCTAGTGTAATCATCAACGATGGTAAAAAAAAATATTTATATCCTTCTTTACTCTGTATATGGTAAGGATCCCAGACATCAAGGTGAACTAACTCACCTAGGTTTTTTGATTTGTGAACACTTAAATCAAATTTTTCTCTAGTTTGTTTTGCCTTATGGCAAATTTCACAGGGCCCACTATCCTCATTAGCAATATTGAGATGACTTTTAAGCATGCTCAAGACTTGATGTGAAGGATGTCCAAGTCTACTGTGCCACAGTTGAGTGGAAACCAGACAAGACATATTTTTATAGTTTGGAAGACAGGAAGTCATACAATTAAGATTTTCATCAAAGAAATAGAGACCATCCTCCTGGCTACCAGTCCCCACGACACTCTTTCGAAGAGAATCCTGGACGTAGCATTTCGACTCATCAAAACTTACAAACACCTTGTTATCATTGACAAGTTTATGTACAGATAATAGATTCACATTAAAGTCTGGGATGACTAAGACATTAAATAAAGTGACATTGTTGGTTAATTTAAAATCACCTATTTTATTTATCTTAGCCTTAGTCCCATTTGGATGACATTATCGAGAGCCATTAGGAATTGCTTCTAATCGGTAGATACACATCATCGAGAGCCATTAGGAATTGCATTAGCTTTATAAGTTGACTGTGTTCCAGGAACTCACAGGAGGCATTACAGGTACATGAGAGAAGTTTTACCAAAGCATCAAATTGTCTCCACATAGAATTAAGTTTTTGATAGTACTCGGAAACAGACATGCCACCTTGACTTAATGAATTTATTTTCTGATAGAGGTTAAAGGTAACAGAACCATCCACTTTATCGTATGTCTCTTTTAGCTCATCCCAAACCTTGGCAGATTCTTTCAAGAACACTTGACCAAGGAAAAGATCTTCGGTCATGGAACTCAAAATCCACGACAGGACAACATAATTACAACGATCCTATTGTCTCTGTAGGACAGGATCATTTGAGGGTCTGAGACAAGTACCGTTTATAAATCCCATTTTATTTTTAGTGTCCAAGGCTAATGTCATGGCACAGACCCAAACCTTATAATTCTCGGTACCACTTAATTTGAAATTTATTAATGGAGCTTCATTGGTATCGCTCGGATGTAAGTACAGTGGATCTCCAAAGTCAAGCGAGGTAACTTTGGATTCCACAGGACTTGCCGTGATAGCAGTGGTTCGATCCATTTAACAAAACCGCAAACAAAGCACACAAAAGAATCTGAATAGCTTGAGAGCAGGATTCCTAAAACACTCAACGGTGCTAGGTCAAGCTCACTAATCAGATTCAACAGATAGAGACAGGAAGGAACAATAACAAGAACCACAACAGAAATAAAAGGAAGTAGTTAAACTAAACAATGATAACCACAGCAGAAGCAGGTAAAGATAAGAAATAAAGCGAGAAAACGAATCGCAAACCTAAACAGAGGGATCTGGATAAACGGACCAGATCTAGAACAACACTATAAACCAAAGCAAAATAGATCTGGAGCAATGGACCAGATCTAATACAAAGCGATAACACTAGATCCGGAAGGACCAGATATAATACAAAGCGATAACACCAGATCCGGAAGGACCAGATCTGAGAAAACAGAGAATAAAACTAAACCAACAGCTTACCTTCCTTTTAACCAAACAAGTTTTGTAAGAAAAGGTAGATCGAGATCTTAAAAGGATTTTACAAATCAACCTTACTTGCGTATGAACTTGAAACAAGTGAACATAAATTTAAAAGGAAGATACAGAACAGATAGGCAAAACCAAAAGCCCCAAAAAGAACCAGCGAGTATTGCAAGGAGAACGGTCGATCGAGATTTTAACAGAAAAAACTCGCAATCTTATTACTCACTTGCTCATGTACTCAACAAGGGAGAACATAGAAACTACCAGATAGACAATAGAAACAAGATCTAAACAATATACAAGATCCAAACGAACAGAGAAGAAATACCTCAAGAACACACAAGTATAGCAAAGAACCAAGGTAGATCGAGATCAACAACATATCTCGCAATCCTTCAGATCACTTGTGCACTTACTTGTATCAACGAAAAAAGAGATCGAAAAACTAACCTGGAGTTTCAAGTCGATTTTCGCAATGAAAAGTTTCTCACAACCACAGCAAGAACAGATCCAACACAAGGTGTGAGGCTCTGATATCAATGTAGAAATCTATAACCAAACCACCATGTATTGATAGAAGAAAAAACTTACAGATGAAAACTTACAAGAAAACTATGTATCTTAGCTAAGATAGCTAAGATCTATAAGAAAAGTAAGCTAAATCTAAAGAGAGAAACTGAAGAAACTTTTCAAAAGAAATTACAAAAATGAATTGAGATGATTATTTGATAACTGGGTATAAAGTTTATATAGTCTGTCCAATAATTGCAAAAAGCTCTCTGACTTTAAACATATTGCTTCGCTACCCTTGATGTTCCAAGAAATGTGAGGCGCAGTCCTCCGGTCCTTAATCTTTCTTGACTTGAACATTTTTACCCCTTATGTTTATATACCTTGCAAAACAATACAAAACAACCAACAAACATACAAAAGTTAAGATTGACAATTTAATAGGATATCATATTTTAACAAAATGCGATGAAGATCCTCCGAGCTGTAAGCTTATATTAATAAGCAACTAGAAGCGTACTCGTACAATGCAGCGAGATACATCGTGATTTTAATATTTCATTTTATTCTTTATTTCAGTCAATGTTATAATATGGCTTTATGTTATTTTGAGAAAACAATGATCTTTTTATTTTTGAATAAAATATATGTTTGAAGATATCATAAAAATTTGACAAAAATATATCGATATTAGTATCAAATTAACTATTTGAAATTCCTCA